TTTTTTATTGATTACACTGAGTATATGGTGTTTAATAAAATCAAATATTATAATTTGAAGCCCGCATTCAATACATTCACTTTTTGTCCCATTTCTCCATTCAATTGTATTAAAAAATCATCTCTTATTTTAGTAATCAATTAATTGCGAAATAATTTACATATTATTTATTTAAATCATAAATTAGCACAAATTGAAGCAAACAATTCATTTATCCATCATATACTGTACATTCTTAAGAAATAAATTATTCAAACAAATAAATCAAAGTAAATGATTGTCAAAACTTTTGAAAGTCAATTACAGTATAAGCTAATTAGAGCTCATTTATTATAATGATTGCAAAATAATTATAAAATCGCAATATATAATATATTTTATTTATAAAAGTTTGTAAACAATTTTAATTAAATATTCAATCATTAAAATTTATTGAAAATAAATAATATTTGTACTGATCTTTATAGCATTCACTTTAAGATTGGCACAATTATTTTATAAACAACATTGTATGTCCACATATAAATGCAAATAACTTGTGATCATTAAATTAAATGAAATATTTTCAAATATACGTGTACTTTATTAAAATATTTTAACTTATGATAATAAATTGTAAAATAATATTGTTAAATTTAATTAAGTTTAATAAAAATAGCTACATTTGGTTTTAGGTTTCAAGGTAACAGATCTATAAACAAAATAATAGTAATGATCTGGAACATTAATTTCATTATTGATACATATTTTCATTAATCTGAAATCTTATAACTTTTACAAATTAATTATATCTAAAGTATTAGTATTTCTAATGAAATAAAAAGTTGAAAAGTTTTTTGAGTCAAATATAGCATGAATTGAGTTCTTATAGGCTTTCGTATAATAATAGAGTGAATGGAAGTCACGTGTGTTTTGTTGATATCATAGACACGCGAGTCATATGTCTGTGAATCAAGTGATCGCTTCTTTAGCTACCATTCAATGTCTTTGTCGTCCTCTGCAGACACCGACCATCAGACCACCGCAGATGACGTGAATGTCCGATACGGCCATCAGTGCCGACAATTGAGTGCCGAAGAGGTGGCCCGACTTGAGAGCCATTCCTCAGTGGTCTCGGAGTTCAGACAAAACCGGTTGGAAAGGGAGGCGAAGAAGAATTGGGACCTCTTTTACAAACGAAATACAAACAAATTCTTCAAAGACAGACATTGGACTCAACGCGAGTTTGAAGAACTCATGGCCTGCGAGGGCTCGGCTCAGGAGGACAGGGATATGTCGCTTCTGGAGGTGGGCTGTGGCGTCGGGAACACCGTTTGGCCACTCATTGCACAGAAGACTAACTTCCGGTTCTATGTCTGCGACTTCTCTCCCGTAGCCATCGATCTGTTCCGTCAGAACCCGCTCTTTGACGACAAGAAGTGCACGACTTTCGTGACGGACGTCACCGAAGAGGACGCCATCCGAAGACATTTGGGATCAGACGTGCACTTGGATTACGTGTCGTTGATATTCGTGTTGTCGGCCATTAATCCCAAGAAAATGAGAACCGCTTTGAATAATATCCATCAGGTATTCAAAGCAATCATTTATGGCTTTTATTAATGATTTTTTGCACAAAAATATGTTTTAATCATTAAATGCATTGAAAACAAGGTTTTGGGAAATGTTTAACAAATTGTTATTTTTTTCTTTTGTTATCTTAAATAACAAATGAATTTAAAGTTTTTTAATTCAGAAAATGTTGCGAAAATATATGTCAATTGAATTATAGGTCAAAATTATAGTAAATTTGAATGAATTTCTACTTAAATAATCATCAATTTTTGCCATCAAAACACTGTCAAAATGTTTGCTAAACTTTTCGTTTGAAATGAATTTTTATTTCAATTGAAATTATTTGGCATTAATTTGTTTGATTTAGCGCTGAATAGCGTAAACAGTGTTTCCAATCGCTGTTTGAATATTTATGACATACTGTACAATCTTTTTAATTTCATACAACCAAAACCTAAATCAAGTGATATTTTATACGTTTTTCTTAAATATATTTTATAAAATCTTTTTGATTTGTTATGACACGAGTTTTGAAGTAAATATTTTTTATTACAATAAATGTTTGCCAAAAACAAATT